ACTCAGCAAACTCTGCAAACTGGCCCTTGCCTGTCTGTCTCCTTTCTGGCTAAGATCTGCTGCTGCTGCTGCTGCGTCCTGTTATTGTAATAATGAGTTTTTAGTGATGCGCATCGATTTGTCAATTGATGATTTGTTGTTTTCAGGCATCAACTTCGTTTCGGTTTCGGTTTCATTTTCCTTTTCTTGCCTTTTTGCCTTCTTCTTTTCGGGGCCTTCTTTTTTCGGAATTGAAATCGGCATTCAAGTATATCATTAATTCCACTTTTGTCATATTGAGAGCTTTTACAATTTGATATTTGATTAATCGCCTAGTTGCCAGGGCCCAGCTCATGGGGAGTGAGAAATTGTCACAATTATTGATGCCTCCTTCGCGCCGTAATTTATCTCCCCGGTCGTGGGTTCGTTAAAGGATTCGCTGTCAGTGTGCTCGGACATTGTTGTAACAACTGCATTTAATCATTAAAGGTTCATGATTTACCCACCAGTGGAGTCGATTCAAACCATTTGTTTCGTCATCGTTCAAGTCTCAACAGAGAGAGAGAGAGAGAGAGAGAGATGAGTAAAAAGAAAAGAAAAACAAAGCAAAATATGAAGTGCATTCAGATTTATTTATACTCGATTGTTAATAAATAAATACAATTAAATAAATATAGTTTTGATTTAATTTGTGGGCCACAACTATTTTTATTTTAAACATGAAAGAGAACTAACCATAAATGTACTTGCAAGTATTTAATAAAGATATAAAACATATTCAATTATATTTAAAATATTTAATTTAAGCGAAATAAAATAAAGCCAAGCTTGAACACATTTAATTTAAATATTTGGTATTTAAATGCAAAAATAAATACAATTAAATAATTTTAATTTTGTTTTATATTTTTAAGCAATTTGCAAATATTTTACACAACTATTTGTATTTAAAATATAAACCATAAATGTAAAAGTATTTAACAAAAATATTTAATATATTAAAAAAAAGTTAAATTTGAACACATTTAATTTGAATAAATAAATTAAATATTTGGTATTTAAATGCAAAAATAAATAATTAAATAAATACAATTAAATAATTATAGTTTTGATTTATAGTTTTATGCAATTTGTAAATATTTTACACAACTATTTGTATTTAAAATATTAACCATAAATGTAAAAGTATTTAATAAAAATATAAAATATATTAAAAAAAAAAGTTAAATTTGAACACATTTAATTTGAATAAATAAGCTAAATATTTGGTATTTAAATACACAAATAAATACAATTAAATAATTATAATTTTGTTTTATATTTTTAGGCAATTTGAAAATATTTTACACAACTATTTGTATTTAAAATATTAACCATAAATGTAAAAGTATTTAATAAAAATATAAAATATATAAAATATAATTTCATGAATTAAATTTGAGCTAAATAAAAAAAGTTAAATTTGAACACATTTAATTTGAATAAATAAGTTAAATATTTGGTATTTAAATGCAAAAATAAATACAATTAAATAATTATAGCTTTGATTTATATTTTTTGGCAATTTGTAAATATTTTACACAACTATTTGTATTTAAAATATTAACTATAAATGTAAAAGTATTTAACAAAAATATTTAATATATTAAAAAAAAGTTAAATTTGAACACATTTAATTTGAATAAATAAATTAAATATTTGGTATTTAAATGCAAAAATAAATAATTAAATAAATACAATTAAATAATTATCATTTTGTTTTATATTTTTAGGCAATTTGAAAATATTTCACACAACTATTTGTATTTAAAATATTAACCATAAATGTAAAAGTATTTAATAAAAATATAAAATATAATTTCATGAATTAAATTTGAGCTAAATAAAAAAAGTGAAATTTGAACACATTTAATTTGAATAAGTAAGTTAAATATTTGGTATTTAAATGCAAAAATAAATACAATTAAATAATTATAATTTTGTTTTATATTTTTAGGCAATTTGCAAATATTTTACACAACTATTTGTATTTAAAATATTAACCATAAATGTAAAAGTATTTAATAAAAATATAAAATATTATTTCATGAATTAAATTTGAGCTAAATAAAAAAAGTGAAATTTGAACACATTTAATTTGAATAAATAAGTTAAATATTTGGTATTTAAATGCAAAAATAAATACAATTAAATAATTATAATTTTGTTTTATATTTTTAGGCAATTTGCAAATATTTTACACAACTATTTGTATTTAAAATATTAACCATAAATGTAAAAGTATTTAACAAAAATATTTAATATATTAAAAAAAAGTTAAATTTGAACACATTTAATTTGAATAAATAAATTAAATATTTGGTATTTAAATGCAAAAATAAATAATTAAATAAATACAATTAAATAATTATAGCTTTGATTTATATTTTTAGGCAATTTGAAAATATTTTACACAACTATTTGTATTTAAAATATTAACCATAAATGTAAAAGTATTTAATAAAAATATAAAATATAATTTCATGAATTAAATTTGAGCTAAATAAAATAGAGCTAAATTTGAACACATTTAATTTGAATAAATAAATTAAATATTTGGTATTTAAATGCAAAAATAAATACAATTAAATAATTATAATTTTGTTTTATATTTTTAGGCAATTTGTAAATATTTTACACAACTATTTGTATTTAAAATATTAACCATAAATGTAAAAGTATTTAATAAAAATATAAAATATTTTAAATATAATTTCAGTAATTAAATTTGAGCTAAATAAAATAGAGCTAAATTTGAACACATTTAATTTGAATAAATAAATTAAATATTTGGTATTTAAATGCAAAAATAAATACAGTCAAATAATTATCATTTTGTTTTATATTTTTAGGCAATTTGTAAATATTTTACACAACTGTTTTTATTTAAAACATTAACCATAAATGTAAAAGTATTTAATAAAAATACAAAACGCATTGAAAATTAATTGAATGCATTTAATTTAATTGAATGAATTTATTTGAATAAATAGGCTAAATATTTGTTTTAGAAATACAAAAATATTGAAAAGTTGAAGTTTTATTTCGATAAAGCAAAGATTTTAGTGGCTGGCAAAGTGGAAACAACATTATATTTGATCCTTAGTTACTCGATTCGTATTGATTCACACTAAAAGTATTTCATTTCACTGTTTAAATTCCTAAGGCCAAAGACGTTTGCAGAATCGAGTTAGTTAGTTTCTAGCATGCCACAAAATGAATGGCTGGAGTGTCTGGTTGGCCAGCGTCTCGCATTTTCGCTTATGCTAATGGCTGCTAATTGGAATCTCAGTCTTTGGGGTATTTCAGAGGACATTTGGATCCATAATTGGAATCAGAATCAGCTTGTTGTAGTTTTGAAACAACGAAACGACTGCGACTGCGACTACTTTCCAGCCATCAAATGTTGGGTGCAGCCATCAGTGGCAGGCAGCTTGAAGCTAGCCAAAGGACCCAACCATGTACACAATGGGGGGGGGGGGGAGGAGGGTGCCAATGTGGCAATGTGGCAATGTGGCAGGTTCTTTCGCATGGATGGATGCATGTAAATGGCTCCACATAGGAGTAGTTCAAGTCGGCAAAGGTAAAATGTCGGTCGGTCGGTGGCACAGATGGATGGATAGATATGGAGCGTGTATCTATCTACACACACATATGTGTGTGCATTTGGGGAGGCATGTACTACACACACACACACACACACACACACACGTGTACATGTGATGTTTGGGGGCGGAGGATCCCAGGGCAAATGCAAACTGAATGCTATTGGGGCTGGGCGTGGACTGTGTCTGGTGGCATGGTGTGGCAATGTTGGCAGTCAAAAACTGATAATGTACTTCTGCCAACTGCAACTAATTTGTTGGTAGGAGCGGTGTCTGCTACTCGTACGTCTACCACCGCCATCGTAAATATTGCTGCGACCACGGACACTTACCCAAAAAAAACCCCCCAGCACCCAGGCAGCCAGGCAGCCAGGCAGCCAGGCAGCCAGCACTCAGTACCCAGGGCCTTGATAAACATTCTCGATATTTAGCGTTAGTTTAGATTGTTATGGCCCAATCACCCACACACAACCCACAGCACACCCACTCCCTCCCCAAAGTAGACACGCAAAATAATCATTTTCGGCATATTCCCCAGCCCAAAGAGGCCGCAGGCGCTGCTCTGTGCATAGGTTTTTGTCAATCAAATCATTTTGAAACGGAGAATTGCCATAGGTATTCGATGGAAATGTTCATTGAGCAGAAAAATAATACAACCACAATTCAGTGATGATTCAAATTGGTGTTTTTCTGCATGCAAAAATATAGAAATAAATAACAAAAAATATTGATTACAATCGTCAAAGTGTTGCAAATAAGTAACCTTAGAAATGATATAAAAACCAAACTGAATTCTCAATAAGCAATTCCTTCAATTGGTTTTATTTCCATGTTCACTTTCTGTTCGCTGTTTAGAAAGGGGAAACAATTTCTTAGGGCCACGAGTAGATGATGAAACTTAAAACTAATCATGAAAAATGTCCACTAAACTTTCTACAACAAAGAATGAGTTTTCGTATAAGCGTGAAGAATTTACAAATATTTTGCGCGGGTTGATTAACAAACTGGATTTGGATTGGCAGCAGCAAATCTGGGTCAGGCCCGGCCAGACCAACGAGTTGCAGGTAGAATTAATCCAATTTCGAAAGCGCCTGTGCCCAGAATCCACACTAATCCACGAAGGGAGCAGAGCAGAGCAGAGCAGAGCGGAGCGGAGCGGGAATGAAGCGCATTCGTGGATGTGGGATCAATGAATGAATCCCATGGCTTTCATTGATCTGCGCCTGCATGGCGATTAAGGGGGGGGTGGATCTGTGCACAGGATATACCCGATAATCCCCCCCGCTTTTCCTATGCCCTATCGCATATATAGGCTGCAGCCATGGCACAACAGTCACAGTTCATCGACGATACCGATAGAAGTGACAACACCTCGAGATGGATACGACGACACACAGCCCGAAAGTGTTTCAATCGAGCTTCTCCATACGCTCGCTGCTCTCAGCCAAGGGCGAGGAGTACTACCAGCAGCAGCCACTACCACTACCAATACCGTCCAGTCCCAGTCATTCGTGCAACAGCTCCGAGGATGCCGCCTCCTCCGATGAGACGTCCAGCAGCGGCAGCGGTGGCAGTGTCACCACCAGCCCCAGTGCAACGAGTGGAGCAGACAAGGGTCCGTCGCATGATGCCAGCAAGCCGGCATTCACCTACAGTGCCCTCATCGTGATGGCCATACGCAGCAGCCCGGAGAAGCGACTGACCCTCAGTGGCATCTGCAAGTGGATAGCCGATAACTTTGCCTACTACCAGAACCACAAGAGCGTCTGGCAGAACTCCATACGGCACAATCTCAGCCTGAATCCGTGCTTTGTGCGTGTGCCGCGTGCTCTGGATGATCCCGGACGTGGCCATTACTGGGCCCTGGATCCCTATGCCGAGGATCTGACCATTGGCGAGACGACGGGTCGCCTGCGTCGCAGCCAGCAGCATCTGCTGGGACGCTCCAAGGCGGCACATCCCTACCAGCAGCAGATGCAGCTCTATGCGCAATCCATGTTCAAGCCGCATGCCGCCTACTTTCCCATTGCAGAAACGGCACGACAGCAACAGCAGCAGCATCATCATACGATCATGATGCAGAACTACCATCAGGCAACTGCAGCAGCGGCACTGGCACAGGCACAGGCACAGGTACAGGCACAGCAGGCGCATCGACAGCAGACGACGCTATCATCGCACTTCCATCAGCAACAGCATCAGCAGCATCATCATCGAACTGCTAACAGCAATTACTACCAGCGACATCAGCAACACAATTATTACTTGCAACAGCAGCAGCAGCAGCAGCAGCAGCAGCAATATCCAAGCACTTATGCCGCCAAGTGGATGCGACAACCCATTGAGTGCTTGTGGCGTTAGAAACCAGACAAAATGTTGTGCACAATCCCTGTGATTGGCAGCAAGCATTGGCGTAGAACGCGGTTTAGTTAATTAGTTCAACCAAATTAATTAGCAGACAACATCAAAGACCAAACAAAGACACAGAGCAGAACCCATTCAGCAAGGAAGTACAGTCCGTCACACACCCAACAGTGCAGCACAACATACAGTGAAACAGTATTTAATGCTTACCCTTTTTTTTTGTACCTAAGATATGCATAAATGATAATAGTTAATAGTTAAACATCGTATATATATTTTTACTACTATATTTTAAATGATATTTGGAATAAAGTGTGTTCAAGGGACAAGAATTTTTTTTTTTTTTTTTTTCAATTGCAACAGCGAAATGGAACTTGAAGGGTGGCACTACGATGAGTCTGCATTAAACAGGTACTTCAGTTTATGTTGGGAAAATATTACAAAAAAAAAAAAAAAAAAAAAAAATTTTTGCGACTTTATTTGTTATATTTTTATGTCATAAATTATCATCATAAATCATCAAATACTCATCTGAGTATCTGTTTGGTTTGTTTTCTACTGACTTTCTGACTTTACACATGCCGCAGCTGCAAATCTTTGAAAGCTTTCCCCAAAGATTTGGGAGGGCAACAGCGACTGACTCGAACATCACGAAAGAGTTTTGTTCTTTTGGGGGTCTAACCTTTAGATCTTGTTTTCCTATTTGCTTTGAAGCTGCTCTTTTTGAGATTGGGTTTTCTTTAAGTGCACCTGTCGTATGGTGCATTAGCCCAGCCCCCAATGTTCTGATGTTCAGTGTCATCATCGTGGAGCATCTTGGGCCATTGCCGCTGCCGCTGCCCCTGACTCTGTCTCTGCCTCTGACACTGTCTATGTGTGTCTCGATGGTACCAGCTTTCGATCGTAACTTAATGCTAGCGGTCAATAGCATTACAAAAAGCAACAGCAACAAACAACAAAAAAAGAGGCAACACAGCAACAACAAATGGCTTATGAAAAGAGCTAATCTGATAATACAGAATTGAAAGGGGCGGTCACGGCACGAATTTTGCTACACGCTCTTGATACCGATGGCAGCAGCAGCCTCCTTCTCCAACGATTGACGATGGCAGCAGCAGCAGCGACGTCAACTAAGAAAAAAGAAAAACTTCCATATTGGTATAGTGCACCTCATGGGGCTTTTGGAACAGAAGGGATCGATGGTCAGACAGTGAAATTGCATTTGGACGGGGTCTCAAAGTTGCGGCTGAACTTGTCTGCACTTGCATTATGGGTAGATACTTGTGCACAGATACACAGATACACAGATACATTCCTGTGCCGTGTTGTACCTGTGTACTCGTCGTAATAGAAGGTTGCCTCAACAGCAGCAGCTGGAGCTGGAGCTGGAGCTGGAGCTGTAGCAGCTACAACAGCACCCAAAGTGCTCATAATCTGTCGGGAGATTGGTGGCATGGGACCAGATGTCAATAATTCAGAGCAATACCGGTAGTTTACGGTGTACCCCAAAAGCAAATGGTTTTCTGTACCCACCACAATCGATTACACTGAAAATAGTTACGGGTCCATACGAGTCCATACTTGTCTGTCTCCTCATCGATCATCAGAGTTGAGGCTCCAAAATGCGTCTCAGATTTATGCCAGGGAATTATTAAAGAACGCCAGAAAGGTTTTCGAATAGTTCTAGAGGCTTGAATTAAACACATTTCATTCTACATTTTAATATTTAATATTATAAATCATGTGAAAATTCCAAGACATGGCAAAATATATTTCGTTCAACCGATTTACTTCCTTCCTAACTCTGCAGCTCCATGTGCCATGGGCAACGAAGACGAAGACTCTCCGCCAGGAGAACAGCACAGAACAAAGGAAGAGATTAAAAATTGTGCTCAACTCAATTATAAAAATGCAACCCAATCTCAATTCCCGCGAATCGCCGCTTGGCTTGGCGTTTGCCATGCGGCCATGCGGCCACTCGGCCATTTCCAGGCTCACATCGAGGCTCACTTGCCACAGTATTCTGGGGCCACAGCACACATCTTCTGATCCCGATTCACTCTGCTGCTCTCTTGTCTTGTGGTCATTCGTCATTTTAGGTACAGCAAACAGAAAACAGAGACAGAGCTGGAGCTGGAGCTGGAGCTGGAGTCTGGGCCCAGTGTCCGGTGCTCAGTTTTGCAGTCCCTCAATCTTCATTTCAATTCCGGGGACCCCATATCCCAGGCAGTTCTCCCCGCCAGTCATTGACACTGATATGTGTGGCAAGGTATGTCTTTTGAAATGACAATCTGCAATTTGCTATTCGAAAACGTTTAAAGTAATTTATTTTTTCGCTGCCGAGGACGCGATCCGCGCGATGCCATGCCCCCAAAGGAGCTTCAGTTCGGGCCTGGGAGCGGGAGCTCCAGTGTGTGTGTGTGTGTGCGAATCGCTTTGTATTCGAGTTTAATGTCTGGGCCGGATGTCGGATTGGCCTTCGCGCACACCGTCCTGGAACATATTAGCCATAGATGCGAGAGCTCTCTGTCCGTCTCTTTTTGGGGGCAGACGTGACAAACGATTGTGATATTCCATCTTACATTTAATTAATGACCTCTCACTACTCGGCCTGACTGGCAAATCAATTCGTGTGCCCACTGCTAAATAAAACCCAAGACGGAAACGCAAGGAGGGAATTCCGTTATGCTAAATTGACTTTGTGAATATTTCATGGTCTGCAGCAATACGAAATAGTTCCGACCCAGGCCCAGTCCATGCTTGACCACTTCGTAGTCGCTACATGTGTCCGTGTCCGTGTCCGTGTCCGTGTCCAGCCATATGTCAACCCTTTTCTCGGGGGTGTCCACCGTGCAGTGGTCCTGGGACAGTCCTGCTGATCCCATGTCCTCTCATAAATAATGCAGCCAATTAAGCCAACACACACACGCCCGATAAATAGTTATCCTTGCTCAGGTTTTGATACATGTAATCCCAGCTAAATGGTGAGGGAAGAAACTTTTAACCTTTGATTGGAAAAGATTTAAAGCGAAGAAAAGAGAAAAGTTCGATGCGAGAATAAGAGACTCAGAACTTGCAGACAGAGTGCCATTTAAGTGTAAAGTAAATGGCAAAGGTTATGGATATAGGAGGGAAATCACTTTCACATTCGAAATAATTACACTCGCGCCACTCACCTGTGGCACTCGCATTGGCCATTGATTGAGCCAACTTGTGGGCTGACTGGCTGCAGCATCTGCATCTATTAAGGCATCTGCACAGCATACAGCATACAGCATACAGCATACAGATACACACAGATATGCACACCTGGCAGCGGCTCCGCCAACAGCCAGCCATTAATCCTGACCTGTCCGTTCTTCCATTTTTGCCCCCCAACCAGTTCAGTTCAGTTAAGTCCAACGAGCGCACTTGATTGCCTTTGCTCTCTTCGCTATTGTTGTGGCTCCACTGACTGCTCAGCGCAGTCCGCTTGTTAGTGTTACGATCGGTGGCGCCGCCTCCGCTTGACATGGGCCGCCTGCATATGCATGTGGCTTCCATTTGAACACATTTCTACCCACATGCAAGCAGCATACCTACTTGGGGCAGAGATTGTGATTTGTTTGCCGCCATCCATCTCGTTCAGCGCATTATTTGAACACCTATTTGCAGGGCATGCAGGCGAAGAGATTCTTGGAGAGATGATCACAAATATTAGGTACATAAACGCACAGCAATGTGCACTCCATGAATGCATTTCCAATGCGGCAACACATCAAATGACCTTTATTGCAGACAGCTAATTAAATGCCTATTTATTGGCAGAACAAGCAATTAGCCAGAGAAGGAATTAACTAGCATGTGACAAGAGACAGATGGACGGACGGCTCTTGGCATAGACCAGACCAGTTCAGATCTTGTTTGTGGCAGTGGCAGTGGCAGTGGCAGCGGCTTTATCGGGCTTGTCTTATGCTCATTGTAATTACGATATTTACCTGTCGATTTGTTGTGCAACGTGTCGTGGCCTGTAAACGCGAATGTAACCCTGTCCCGGAGCTGTAAAAAAGTGCAGTTAATTAACCATAATTAATAATGCAAAACCTTTAACTATGTACACTGCTCGCTCGTGTACGGATGGCTCGATGCCAGCCAGTGGTCATGCTATCGCATTGTTTTGTTCTGTTGTCGTTATCCTTGTCCCTGGTGCTGGTACTAGGTCTGGTCATTGTCTTGGCATTGCTCTTCGCGACTTGCGTGTAAGAGGCACATTTTGCCAGCATGCGTGAATAAATAAGAGTCTCCAAAGGGATTGTCACCCATGCCACTAAAACAAAAATCCGCCTGTCATATATATCACTCGAAACACACACACACACACACACACACAAACGGAACAGGAACCGGGCCAGGACTGGGGTCGCTGCCAGACGTAACCGGCCCATAAAATATGACAAACTTAACAACGGCACGGACTGGATGACGACAGAGACAACGGCACAGAGACAGACTGGAGAACTGGAGGAACCATCAAAGCCAAAGCCAAAGCCCAGACCTGGGCCAGGGTCGGACCAGGACCAGGACTTGTGGCTGTCGGCATTCGTATGTGCCAGCAAAAAGAGGGGGGAAACCGTGGACACCCACTTCGCAGCTGTCAATCGTCTAAATCGTTATGGGCACTTGACGGTTCAGGCAAAAATGCAGCCATAAAGTGCCACAAAGTCAGTCTTTAAATTATGAACGACAACAAATGTTGTGACCAGTCAAAGCGACTCCACCAAGCCGCCTGCACGAAGTCTCGTGTCTGTCTCCTCCGCTCCCTCCTTGCTCCTTGGATCGGGTAGGCTTTAATGAATGAATATGAATGTCGCGACAAAGTGCGGTGTCGGTGCCAATGCGAACGCGATACACCCAATGTAATGTCGCATTTCGGATGCCATTAACATTGTGATCACTGTCATCATAATTTATAATTGACTTCCTTGAGAATAAATGGGCATCGGCCACGGACCACGGAC